TAATTTGATCCAATTTCAATATTACCTGTTTCTTTCTGTGTATCCATCATACATCTCCAACACAGTCAGCTCATATCTGCGGGATTTGGTATTGTACAGACAGTAGACCAACCAGTTTTCAGAATGTACCATGTGAATAGGACCCTTGGCACTTTTGTGACGGGCATGAAATATGATCAGTCCTAAAGAAAATTTATATCATTTTTTGGTTCAACTTCTCATCAGTATTAAAAGCTCTTTTTTTTTTACAAATGTCAACTGCCGTAAACATATCACATCGAATTGATTATGACCAGCCAGTCAATTTAAATGGTATCATGTCACACGCTTAGGTCCTTAGTTGCAAAACAAACAATTTTGACCTTTTTTTGCCTAAAATCCCTGAAAATGAGAACAGTTGACTACAACCCGGGATTAACTAAAAGCCTGTTCCGGCAGTGGACCACCGCACACAAGACCTCTAACTACAGTCTGTTTAGCTTGTGAGCATTCGTTTTGATGCCAAGAATGATGGAAAGTACATGATAAACGAAATCCTCAAACACCTAACGATGATCTTTGCAAAACTACTCTTCTAGCATAGAACTGTTTTCTCAGAAATCGTGTGGTTTTTCGCATTCTTGTGATATAGTTGCCAAATTTGGATACGCTGTAACAAAAGTCCTCATTTCGTGATCTTTATTAATTTATCTTTCAATGTGTGGAATTTATTTAACTTTAAGTGCGTGACAAATTAAATCTTGTTGATTTTCTTGTTTTAATCATTTTTTGTAAAACGCCGATCCAGAACAGTTTTCTCTAGTGTGCTAAGTTTCGTGAGCTTATTCTGCTTCAAAAATCTAGCCTGTGTACAGCCCCCCAATCCCCTCAAAAAAATCGGGAAGGCCCCCTTCATGACTTTTTTGAGGGGATGTGGCGGCTGTACACAGGCTACCAAAAACCGGAAAATACAAAATTAAACCCCAAAGGGATATAAGACATGGAAGTGATTTTGTCTTCAACGTTCGAAAAGAACAAGTCATTCCTGATTCCTTACTTAGACAACATCCAGCCAACTTGACCTTACGCTTGGTTAATAACGCATAGCAAAACTTAAAAGTGGAATTTTCATCCGCTCATCGAAAGACCATTCAAGAAACAGGAACATAATAATATAATAGTAGAACGTTTATCCGCTCATTCAACAAACAGGAAAAAAAACAGAACAATTTAATAATGGAATGTTCGTCCGATCATCCCAGGAACAGTGCAGCAAACCTACAGCAAAATGTATGGTGTGGGCCAGCTTAGCCACCTTACCCACATAACGTTCTTGCGACCTATTACAGGGGTCGGTATACATTATGTTTTCCTAATGGTTATTTTTTCGGTTCTCACTGTCAGAACAATATAAATGTAAACTGTAACGTGATCTTCGACCGGTCGAAAGACTTCAATTCAAGAGGATGTAAATTCCTAGCGGGCTAAAGTTGACCTTTATTTCCGGTGGTTTTATCGATCAACACAATGATGCATAAAAACGAATATTGCAAAAACAGAGCTTGCCAATTTTCATCAAATTCTATACCCAAAAAAGGAATATTGGAAGGATGAAACCAAATGATGTGTAATTCCTTATTTTCGAAATAAATACTCTGTCCTTTGCGGGTTTAGTTAATTAGTTTGTCTTCCAACATTCTAGAAGGTCATAGTACTCTCAGTGTTAGATACGCAGCTCCAACGAAAATATTCTAACGATAGGATATGGAATACGAAAACAAATCTGACAAGGCTTACGCCAAAAAAGACAAACTTAAATACAAAGCTGGAGCACGTGTCGATGGAGATGATACATACAGTGCTTTAGAAGCTTCAGCGGATGCAGGAGTGGAGACGAGTGAATGGGGAGTAACAGCAGGTGCTGGAGCTCGAGTCCACGCTTTCCAAGTCGGTAGGGAAGACGTAAACGTAAACGCGCGATTTCTTGGAGCAGATGTTGGAGCACAAGCTGGATATGATCTGGAAGGTTTTGTCAAAGAGGGAAAAATTTAGGGGCTGAAGCAAAAGCACGGGTGACAATGAGTGAAGCGAAAGCTGGGCCCTTTAACCTCCACCTTGGAGCTGGAGTATCAACTGGAGCCAAAGTTGAAGACGGAACATTTGACGCAAAACTCGCTGGTTGTGGTCTCAAAGTTGGAAAGAAGATCGGTGTTGCTGTTTTCGATAACGAATTTTCCGTTGACACATTAGCTCTGGTTGGTAAAGGATGGCTTTGGGGCAAGTAACTGTTACAGTTATCTAAATGCAACTCGATGTTAAGTCGCTCTTCCTCTTGCATTGCTTTAAATTCAATTTATGGTAGAAATCAATCACAGATTGTAAAAGGCCAATAACGCTGTAAAGCATGTTCAGTGGAACTGTTTGTAGGTTTTTAGGTTTTTAACAACTGGCCACCTGAATAAAAGTTTTCTAACTGAAGTGAAGAAAACAAACACAAGGCTAATAGCCTCTAGACCAGTGCCAAGCTTGATTTTTTCTACGATTTTCCTCCTGCAAGTTGCTCGTAATACTTTTATTTTGTGATGTTAATGTAATCGGCCACGGTTTTGCCTGCTGTTAAGAAGACGTTAACAAACTTGTGCGCGCGCGACTCGCGTGCGCGTGCTTTGAGGTTACGAAGCAATCTCGTAAGCAAATCACGCGGACCCTTTTTTAATGTTGACGTGTGCGATTTTTAGAGAAGAGTAGTTGAAGTTTTTTTTGTTTATCGTTTGGTTGTTGTCGTTTGCCGTAAGACTACAGTTTTCTGTGTTAGAGTAAGTGTCTGTTTGGATTTCCCGTTTCGCTTCCGAATACCTAACTTATATTGAAGTTCGTTTTGGTTC